AGGGAGGGAGGAAGGAAGGAAGGAAGGAAGGAAGGAAGGAAGGAAGGAAGGAAGGAGGGAGGGAGGGAAGGAGGGAGGGAAGACAGAAGCAGTGATTCACTATGTAAACTCCCGCTTTAGGCCACTCTATTCAATTAACATCCAAGGCACACTTAGACAACAAAGAATGATAGTCTTTTTAAAAATATTTATCTTTTTATCACCAAAAGTGCTAATTTTTTTTTCAAAATTATCTGATTATCCTGGATCTTTTTGAACTCCTACGCAATCTAGTTGCTCTCCTGCATTTGGTCATTATTTTGGAAATCTTGAAATAAACTTCATCTGTGAAATACCCAATTCTACATATAAAGGTTATCAAAGGACCTTTTTAAGACGTTCATCTCTGGAAGAGATGATGCCCAAATCACAGCTGCAAGAAAGGAAAGTCTCTGCAGGAACCACTCAACAAGACCAGAAGGGAACTGTGTCTGCATTTAGCTTTAAACATTTAAAAAGTCATGAGAAAAATTATCTCTGGTTCCTCATGCTCTAAGCTCTCACAAACAACAAACTGAAATGATTTGTGGCTTTCAAGTTTTTGCTCATGTTAACTTGCCAGTAAACATTCATGTTCTCTATGGAATTGAGGGACATTAGCATGCAAAAAAAAAATATCCTGTAGGGTCTTACTACACAAAATGTGGTCTATGAACCAGCAGCATCAGCATCACCGGGGAACTTAAGAGAAAGGCATACTCTCTAGGTCCTATCCTAGACTTCTTGAGTGGGATGTTCATTTTAACGAGACTCCCAGTTAACTAAGGCATGTTAAAGATTAAGTGCTGCTTTAAGATACAAGACTCTCTTGCAGCCCTTATTGATTTGAATAAAACACATACATCTGCTTCCAAATCCCCCAAAGAAGGCATGTTTCAGCTCTCACTTTACTTATATTATCAATGGGCACGGTCTAACCCCACTTTAGTAATGAGAAAATGTAGGTCCCCAAGAGGACAGTGCCTTAGCTAAGTTCATGCATCCAGTGGTTGCAGAACTTAGAAGAGAAGAAGAACTCAGACTTCCTGATTCCTTTTTTTTTTTTTTCATGCTCCTGATACAACATGACTCCTTTTTCTCTGCAAAGAAATCTTAGAAGTAAATGTTGCTTAAGAATCAAAATATTTCCTCAGTTTGCAAGCTTCACTTCATTGTTTGCCAGTTGGTGTGTGTCAGAAGATTTTGTAGTCAGAGCCAGGCTAAGGTTGGGGTTTCCCTGCTGACTCTTCCAGGTGGAATGCGTTCCATGAACAAGTCAACACTTGAATCAGGCAGGTAAACGATCACATCCAGTGGATCAAGGACTTGCAATAATTCATTAAGTAATTTGTTTCCTTTGTACCAGACCCAAATCTCA